AAAAAAAAAAAGAAAATAATGAACCTAGAGATAGTTTTTCTCTATATTATAGAACTTTCCAGGGAGTTTTAAATTCAGTTTTTGTATTTTTTTTCCTAGAATTCATCATATTATCTGGAAATAAAGGAATTTGTAAGTTAAAAAATTGTAACTATGCCTGTCTAAATTAGAGTAAAAATTTTATGGATACTCTAAATTAGAAAATTTAGAGTATCTTTGATAATTTAAAAATAGCCAAAATTTTGATCTTTGTTATTTGATTTTTTTTCTTTATAAAGAACTTGTAAGAGAAATAGAGAAGAAATTATTATTTTCATATTTTGGCAAAATTGACCTTAATTTTTGGTGTTGCTAAAAAGTATTCTCATAATAAATGCAGGATAATTTTTATTCACCATTTCCCTAATCATACTAATTATTAATACATTGATTAGTATTAATGTAGTCCTAAAGTTCTTAAAATAAAAACTTCCCTTCATTTTCATGAGCTACAACCAGTGCCTTAATTCTTTTATATCAATGATGTTTATAACTCATCCAAGTTAGAGAAGTAATTAACTATTATGACAGTTACAGTTTCAAATTGGTAAAAGGAATTCCTTTAATTAAGATTTCCCAGAGATTATGGTTGCAGACTTTCTATAAAACCATTTTCTATTCTTCATAGATTTAACATAAAATGGCAGCCTCAAGTATGATGTAAAGGGAGGCTAAGAATGCCTTATTGTGTTGGGGAACTGGGGAATTGAGTGAACTACTTTTTTTCCCCTCTCAAGTTTTCTCAGAATTTTAAATATATATATATATATATATATATATATATATATATATATATATTTAGTTATAATTGGACATAATACATTATTTTATTTATTTGGTTTTATGCGGTGCTGAGGATCAAACCTAGTGCCTCTCACATACGTGCTAGGCAAATGTTCTACCGCTGAGCCACAAATCCAGCCTCAGTTTCTCAGAATTTTCATTTTTTCTTATGAACAAAAACAAAAAAAACCAAGTTTTTTTTAATGTAGCTCAATAAATTGGTAGTCTAAATGAGATTTTATTGGTAATTTGTATCAGTGTGAGAACAGATGTCTTTGTCGGTTGAGATAGAGCTATTAAAAAATGAGGTGATTATCCAAAAGTTTAAAAATTGAGGTATCTGAACTTGAATGAATGTGATTCTAATCACATTTAGCAGAGAGTTTTTTAATCAAATGGAGTTTCTATAACATTCAAGAGATAAAAATAGAGCTCCATTTAGGAAAAAAAAAAAAAACTACCCAAAATATATTGCCTTAGATTCACAAAAGAAATGCATTAAATGTTGAATGTGTTTAGAAAAACACTTTTTAAGTTTTTCACTGTTAAATTATTTAGTAATGAAAACTTCACTGAATGCTAATTTGTAAATAATGGATTTATAAATGCTGAGGAATCATTCAACTTCCTAGTTCTCATCAGACATGTCTTGACTAAATGTTAAGCCCTGACAGGTTTTCCCTCAACCAACTTTTCCATGTCCACAGTATCCTCATCAAATCAGGCTCCAACATTTTCCTTCATGGAACTCATCACTATTTATTCTGTTTTTCCTTTACAGACTTCATTACTGTCTTAAACTACCCAATATTTATGTTTAGCAAGTACTGTGTTATAGGTTTACCTTCCTGGAATATACACCAAATGACGCCATATTATTATATGACAATATATCACAAAATATTAGCCAAATAGTCACAAATGATATTTTATTACCCTATAACCTAAATGGTATCAAATGTGATTAAAATATTTCTGGGTTGAATGAGTGAATAAATGAACAGATGAATGCTTAACAGTTGTTATAAGGAGATAGTATTATCGGAAGGATATAGAATGTAGAATCAGATAAAACTTGGTTTGTGTCATGGGCTAATTATGTGATCTATCAGTAACTCATGTAACTTTAGTTGGGGCAATAGTAACACTTTTACCACAGATCCAGCAAGAGTATTAAAATGTCAATATGTGCATCCTAACATCCCTGGATAGTTGTATGTTTTCAGGCTTATTTAAGGATACACTATAGGATAATTATGTAGTTCTGTAACACTGCCTAGAATCAAATGCTTACTCCATTCCTCAGAATGTCTGTGTCCTTGAATAATTTGTCTAATTTATTTTGTCTCTATGTTTTCCTCTGTAAAAAGAAGATGTAACATTTCCTAATAGGTTTTTTAAAAAATAGTTTATTATTGCATTAATCATTTTAATTATAGCTATTAGTAATCATCTAGCATTCCTTACTATTTATTATCCAGGAACCATGTCTAATGTTTATTTTTTAGTAGTATTAAATTTTACTTTACTTATCTTATTGAACTTGGAGAAAGTAGTGAATTTAACTTGAATTTATTGAGTTTGTTGTTCTTGTGAAAATCTCAAATGTCTATGTTCAGGGATTGGCATAGTTATAAGGCTAAGAGAATGGCTTATATCTGATATTTTCTTTTGGGGGCATCAAGGTCCATTAAGGCTGCTAAACATCTATAGTATTGGTGGCTTATTCACAACAGAAATATATTTTTCACAGTCCTGGAGGCTGAGAAATCCAAGATCATGTCACTGGAAGATAAGCATTTGAAGAGGGCCTTCTCTCTGGTTATTTCTGGTTTGTAGATGGTCCCTTCTAGCTCTGTCTTCACCTGGTGAGAAGAGAGAAGGCAGCACCAGAGGTTTTTTTAAGAGCACTAAGGGGTATTTTCAGGTACTGTCTGAGATGGCTAAAAATGTATGCCTTCTAGCTTTTCATCCCTAACATATAGGCCATGCCTCAAATTTGATTTAAAGTTTTCTGACCATTAATATTAAGGGATAGTAACTATTGGGTAGTACTATGAATTGTATGTGAAATATAGGCAAATCTTTAGGAGAAATGAGACTATTTTAGTTTTGTGGAAACCACTCAGAAGTGCTCATAAAGTGAATCCTGCCTGAGTAATGAAATTAAGAGGGCATTTTAATAGATAGTATTACAGTTTACACACTGATGAATTTTCAAGAGTTACGTTGTTACTCATTATGAGTAATGACATCATACTAAAACAATTCTCTAGCTCAGTGATTATACCATTTAATCAAGAGTAAATTTGAGAGCAT